TAGAATTGGGCCAAACGTCAGGAGAGAATGCCTCTAGAACATGGCCATATAGCCCGAAAAAACCTACAACAACCCACATTCTAAGGACTATTTCTGTGTTTGATTTATTAAAATATTCCAATCCGAACACAAAAGAAGGTGGAGGCATTACTTTTCATTCAACCCTCATAATACGCTTCACACCCACATCCAAACACACCCAGAGAGAGAATGACTATTCAACTGTGGCATCTGGTTGCCAAGGAACACCGTTGGTTGCCAGGACCTCTTAATTTGGGATTGAATCTGAATCAGCAACACTCACATTCAACTTGGAGCAGAAAGGGGAAAACATCCCCCGCGATTTGCAGTGGCAATTGTTTGTGATATGAGGTGGGTAGGATCGCATTTGCCAACCCGCCCTCCTCCTCTGTTGTGAGGAAACGATGCCTGTAATGTGCCATTTGCCAACGAAAAAGAGGAATCAGGAACCAACCTTCCATATCTTTCTTTCCCTCTAAATTGAGCGTGGCTGCATTTGGAGAGTTACTTGAATACAGGCTGGAATTCTGTACTTACTTAAACTTATTTAAAACCTAGGCGATCCCTTGTAGCACGAGGATGATGGTCCTCCAAGTGCAGTGTCTTGGTGGTGGATATGTAGATGGTTGTGGAGCCCTATTCTTGATCTACATGTCCTCCCGTAGTGAGGACATTGCTTTCCAGGTGGAAAGCATCCCGGTTAGGGTTGGCTTGATTCGCCTTCCTCTTGGCACGTTTCTCCCTTTCGCCCTCCATTTGTGCCTCTTCGAATTCTGCAGCACTGCTAGTCACAGCTGACCTCCAGCTGGAGTGCTCAAGGGCCAGGGGTTCCCAGTCCACAGCTTTTAAGGTTGGCTTTAAGTCCATCTTTGAATCTTTTTTCCTGTCCACCAACATTACATTTCCCATTCTTGAGTTGAGAGTATAGTAACTGCTTTGGGAGACAGTGACTGGTCCAGCGGAGTTGATGGCGGAGGACCATTGCTTCAATGCTGGTGGTCTTTGCTTCTTCCAGCATGCTGACATTTGTCTGCCTGTCTTCCCAAGAGATTTGAAGGATTTTTCAGAGGCAACGCTGATGGAATCTTTCCAGGAGTGTGATGTCTGTAGACAGTCCACGTTGAGCAGGGTTGGGAGGACAATAGCTTTGTAAGCAAGTACTTTGGTCTCCCTACGGATGTCCCAGTCCTCAAACACTCTCTGCTTCATTCAGAAGAATGTTTTACTCGCAGAGTTCAGATGTGTTGTATTTCAGTGTCACTGTTGACTTTTGTGGAGGGAGCGGAAATGGTCAACGTTTTCCTAATGTTACACCATTAAAATGTATTTTTTGGCATTGCAGAGGGATTGGCTGGTGACTGCTGGAAGAGCATTTTGGTTTTCTCAATGAGAGGCTGAGCTTTTTGTATGCTTCTGCAAAGTGGCATCTAGGTCTGCTTCTGAATGAGCACAGACTCGGTTATCATTGGCATATTGGAGTTCTATAATGTTGTTGTGTTTTCGCTTTCAGTCTGCTGAGGTTAAATAGCTTGCCATCTGTCTGATAAATGATTTCCACTCTGGTGGGAAGCTTCCCATCAACGAGATGAAATGTCATAGCAATGAAGATGGAGAATAAGGTTGGGGCAATAACACATCCCTGTTTGACACCTGATTCCACCTTAAATGGGTCACTTTGGGAGCCATTGCTGTCCAAGACTGTTGTCATCATGTCATCATGGAGAAGCCGCCGGATGTTCACAAATTTGTCAGGGCACCCGATTCTTTGGAGGATGGTCCAGAGAGCGCTGCGATTCACTGTGTCGAATGCCTTTGCAAGGTCGATGAATGCCATGTACAGAGTTTGGTTTTGTTCCTTGCCTTTTTCTTGGAGCTGTCATGCAGTGAAGATCATGTCCACGGCTCTTCGAAAACCATTCTGGGATTCTGGAAGAGTGTCTTCTGAGACCAGGAGAAGACCGTTGGCAAGGATTCTTTTTTTTCTTTCAAAGGAGCTTTATTTCATCATTTTCAGTTTAGCCCACCCTTTAGTCCACATTAAGTCTTTCGGTTCTTCTTTGTTTCCTTTGGACATTTTGGACGCTTTGCTCGGAGTCTCTGGGCCGATCTGTCTTTATTTATATGTTTATTTCTATTATCCGTTGTGCTTGGCTCTGCTGTCACGGTGAGGGGCAGGTAAGATGGTTGGTGAGCAGAGAACAAAAACCAATCCAATCCAGCGGATGGCCCTGCCCAGCTCGCTGGCCTTTCTCTCCAGTGCCTGTGGTGTGACCCCTTTGCTGTTATGCTGGTGGCATTCTGGAGTTTGTGAATCTGGAAAGTTTGGAGTGAAGCTGCACCGGCACGCCAGCAGCCAGTGTTTGGCCCTGCACGTCCCCACCACAGAGCCCCGCGCAGGGCCCCGCCACAGAGGAGGAGGAGGAAACGGCAGCTACTACAGGTTGGCAAGGATTCTTGCAAGGATATTCCCAGCAAAGGTTGAAAGGGAGATACCTCGATAGTTTCCGCAGTTTGTTCTTTCCCCTTTTTCAAAAAGAGGAAAAAATCCTGTACACATCCATGCCAGTGGGTGCATCTACACTGGCAAGAGAAGGCTGAGAGGAGATATGATAGCCATGTATAAATATGTGAGAGGAAGCCACAGGGAGTGATGTCGACACCCCCCCCCAAAAAAAAAAAAAGGGATAGTGACTTATAGTTCTGCAAAGGGCAAGGGCACCAGACTGCACAGTAGAGGGTTAAGTCTTGGTCACATTGCCAAGGCACTGACAACAACAAGGACCCCACGAGGCTTTTGGGGAATGGCTGGATCTTGGGACTTCTGCCCTTCATGAGAGTTGTAGTTTCCCAAGGACCAGCTTCGATCCCAGTATGGCAGCTCTGCCTAACGTTTTGGACTCACAAGGACATCTTTCCCACTCACACTGCTTGAAAATAATTTCTTTATTAAATTTCTCTGGTGGGTGGGATGGAGAAGGGGCGATTGATATGAATTTCCTACAATTTCTATATACTTTTCTTCTATGTATTTCCTTCACAAGTCTGACCCAGCCATGAACTCTTTTGCCCTTTGGGAGGCTGATCAGGGAGCGGCCCACTGGGCTGAAAAGGCCATCAGAAATCACAAAAACACCTATTTACTTGGAAATCACATCTGAACAATGGGACCTGGAGTTACTATTTGACTTTAGGAGGGGGTCATCAGACTGTGATTTCCTCTGCCAAGTTTTCCTTCACAACAAACATCCTTCCCAGCCTCACCTTTTACCTGATCTGATCCTGGAAGGGGAAAAACTGAATCAAATGATTATCCCTAATCACTGATCCATCACAAGAACAAAAAAAACTAGTTTCCTTGGCTGGCTGATCCCTCGGGCACAGGACAGTAGAATGTCATCATCCTCTCTGGACACAATGTCCCCCTTCCGTCCTGCCTCCCTCTCCCTGATTTGCTAAGGAGCCGAAGAGGGAGGGAGTTTTGAAACTTTCAAACCTGTATTTTGCTATAAATATGCCTCTGATCAATGTAGTGGTATGCTTGCATGTGAATGATCACTGCAATTGCATCCGCTTCAGCTGAATCGCTCATTAAACCTTGATGCCTCTTCTTCGCCTTGGCAAGAGTCTCATTTCAATTATTAATATTAATAAAATTGCTGGAATCAGGCTTCTCTGATGGCTCGCCAAGGTCATGGGCCCTGTTTGGAGCGGTCCTAGGGGTCTCTCTTACTGGGGAGACCCTCCTAAAGTCCGTATTGACTTCAGGAGGAGGGAGCAAGCTTGTTTTCTCCTTCCCTGGAGACTAGGACGCAAGGGAACAATGGCTTCAAACTACAAGAGAGGAGATTCCATCTGAACATAAGGAAGAACTTCCTGACTATGAGAGATGTTCAGCAGTGGAACTCTCTGCCCCGGAGTGTGGTGGAGGCTCTTTCTTTGGAAGCTTTTAAACAGAGGCTGGATGGCCATCTGTCAGGGGTGATTTGAATGCAATATTCCTGCTTCTTGGCAGAATGGGTTGGACTGGATGGCCCATGATGTCTCTTCCAACTCTATGATTCTATGATTCTACTGTGAGTTTAATACCAGTTTAACATCACTTTAACTGCTTTGGTTCAGTGCTGTGGAGAAGGCTGAAGACCTAGTAATACAATTCAAGCATTACGTTGCAATTAAAGTTGTTTCAAAGAGCATTTATTCTACAGTGTAAATGCACCCATGAAAAGACCTCTGCCCCGGAGTGTGGTGGAGGCTCCTTCTTTGGAGGCTTTTAAGCAGAGGCTGGATGGCCATCTGTTGGGGGTGCTTTGAATGCGATTTTCCTGCTTCTTGGCAGAAAGGGGTTGGACTGGATGGCCCACCAGGTCTCTTCCAACTCTAGTATTCTATGATTCTTACTCCCTTTGATTGATCCGGTCTCTTTGGCTTCTTCTTTTTTTAATTTTTGAAGAACCAAAACGGAGACAGACCTTCATTCTTGACCTCTGCA